AGATAATATATACTTTTCAATATTGAATAATAAATAGAGTTAACTCAACGTTTTTGAACTAACAATCAAGACAAATGCTTGTTAAGGAAAAACAAAATTTCAAATATTTGTATGACTTATTATTAAGCCTTAACATGCTTGCGAAGTAGAGAAAGGAAGTTCGATTACAAAACGTGATGTAGCCTTTGGTTTACAGGACGACAGAACACACCTTGAAACTAAACGTCGCACATTGACAATTGTCTCGAAGTTATCTAAAAATGCGGAAGAGACTTGGAGCATGCCTGTCTTCTTCTCGTCACTGGTAAGATCCAACGAACTGTACTCAAACCAGTTGACGTATGCAAGGTTGTGCATCTTGCTCTGACTTTTTCCCTCGTTATCTTTAAAATACACTTTTGAAATAAAAAAGAAAAGAACTTTGCCATATAATTGAGACACGTCTCCGTCAGAATCTGAAACGGGAAAGTATGCCTTCACAACGTTGCCTTTTTCTGTCGAATTGAAGGAAGAGGTGAACATTATGCCATTTACTTTACATCGTCCATATTTGTGGATTCTCGCATGAACGATATCCATGTTTTCGTAGATCTTTCGAAAATACGCAATTAGAAGATTGCGAAATGTCAATGTAACTTGAACATTCCTTTTCTGTGGCGAATGCATGGAAACAGGCCAGTTGTTAACTACATCTTCTAATTCAACTTGCTCGATAGCTTGTTGAAGGTTATCCGAAGAAGAATAGAAAGAATTAGCAGACTCATTATATAGATGATTCGTTAACGCATTTTCGTCTGACCTTTTCTCTTCAAATAAATTTGCCAATAATGGAGGGACATCTTGTTCACGCAGGCCGCTTGGTAAAGTGTAATTGCATTCATTGTCATTGCAATCATTTTGGAATGAGTGAAGAAACTGTTGCTCGACGGTTCTGCCACTATTTGGCATTCTTTCCAACACACCGTTATAACGTTCGAAGGGAAAGCARCAGTAACCCGAGGCTGGCCCTAAATCTCGCAACATCTGAGGTGCATGTAGAACCATGTGATAATTGATTGATACAGACCATTTGCCATATAAGGCTGTGTATTTCTCGTGGTGCTCTTCGAGAATGTCCTCCAATTCAGCGATTTCTTGTGACGTAATACAGGGAAGCGTAATTATTTTTACGGCTTCTGAAAGTAGAACAAAACAGTCATATGCCTTTGTCGGTATGAGCTTAAAAAGGCAACACTTTCCGTAAATAAGAGCGTAGTTTTTTAATTGTTGTGCTGTGAGTCCAGATAGTGTTTTTTTCTCCGTCATGTGTAACGGCAATCTACCCACGTCGTAGGGAACTTCCAT